ATAGAACCTTAGAAAGTAGCCCTACTTTTACAACCTTATTAAGAAAGTAGGGATGGAATTAATTAGCCAATAGATGTATCATGCATTAAGGTTACATATGCAAATACAGCACGCTCAATTGAGGATTTCATTTTTAGGATTTTATACTACACAGAGTACAAGAGGTCAATAATCAAAAAAGCAAGGGTCTAGGTCTTGAAGTTTGGAACTTGATGGTAGTAATCTTGATAACTAGAGGTTAAAAGAAAATATAGCCAAACAATAATGCATAACAAGGTTCATTCCGTTCGAGGAACTTACCCATTCCACCAGGCTTTCATCCCCCAACGGTTGGGATGTGTCAACAGGCTTACGACCAGTAATGATCTCCAAAAGCACAACGCCAAACGAAAAAATGTCAGACTTTTCAGTCAGTTTACCAGTTGATGCATACTCCGGAGCCAAGTATCTGTAAATAATCCAAATAGATTTGAATAAGAGATGCACAATAGAAGTTCCTATTGCTTATGATCAACATCATGCCTTTTGCACAATAAAATCCATCAACGATCACAAGTGAAAGCACGTTTGCCAAAGCATAAAAGTAACTTTTTTGTTTCCAAAAATGTTTGGCAATTTTACTTTTCTCTTTAAGCAAAACAAATTACGTATCTTGACCATAAGATAGGAATTGCATCCAAATAAGTAACTCATGCAGAATGCCCAAAGACCTATGGCTAAATTTTTCCAACTGTAACAAAATATGCACAAGAGTAACCCACCCAAAAGTTCCCATTACGCGAGTTGATACATGAGTTTCTAAATCCAATTCCTTTGCTATCTTAGCAAGCCCGAAATCTGCAACCTGTTGATGAGCAGCACAGTTAAAATGTAACTAATGCGGAATGAATAATTATTTACACTTAATATACAAGGTACCCCCTCGGCATACCTGTGCTTCGAAGTTGTTATCCAACAGAATGTTTGACGACTTAATATCCCTGTGGATAATACGGGGATGACCTGATCACAAAAGAAAAAAATAATAATAAATAAATAATTACCAGAATTTAAAAAAGAAAAAAAAAAAAAAAGAATCAGCAGAAATTATATTACAAGAATAATAAGATATTTTTCATCACTGTAAACTCTTTTCTGGATCAGTCAAAAAGTATATTGCTAGACGTTAGTTATTTAAAATCTTGTCACTCATATTAGAGTTTCTACAGACTAAATTAATTAGTAAATTTGGCACTTCTACAACAACTAAAAATATAAATCTGTGCCTTTTATGGCAAGGAGAGTTCTGAAAATAAGTGTCAGAACATTGAGATCCTGTTTGGGACAGCTAACAAGGTCCCCAACATATAAGATATTGCAGATAATGTAAGATGTATATTTGATACAAAAACAAAAACTTTAAGAGTAGAGAATAAAAATTACAGGCTTCATGAAGATAAGCTATTCCACGAGCTGCACCAACCGCAACTTTAACTCTGGTTGCCCAATCCATCACCAGCCTTCCTTCACCTGAAAACGTCAGATAATTCAGGAACTTAGTCCGACAGGTATCACATAAATTTTAAATGGAACTTTAGTTGAATGTCAAAGAGTGCTGCATCCTTTGAATACATTTCCAAGAAGAGAACCCAATATAATAAAGGGGCTGTTTATGTGAACATATCACTGTTGTTGGGTGCTCACACAACTCAATAGGGGTGTACAAAGCACGACAAACTAAGCCTTAACATTTGCAATATTTCTTGATTTAAATGTATCATCCATGTGCAGAGAAGGGGTGTACCCTATCCCCAAAAATTAGCAGTTTTAGCAGGACTGCAACAGAGTATGGACCTCAGGCTCAAATTCACAAAATTTAAGAATTCTTATTGATTTAATGAGTTCTTACCATGAAGATGGTAATCAAGGGTGTTGTTTGGCACATAATCATAGACAAGCAACCTTTGATGCTCAGATATACAGTAACCCACAAGTGAAACCAAATGCCGATGGTGAATCCGGCTGATGATCTCAACTTCAGCTCTAAATTCACGCTCCCCTTGTCCACTACCAGCCTTTAGCTGTTTAACAGCAATTTCTCGTCCATCTGATAGAACTCCTTTATAAACACAACCAAAGCCACCTGCACCCAAAATTGCTGAAAACCCATTTGTTGCCTGGGATAGTTCTTCATACGTGAACCATGACCTTGAATTGCCTATGCCACCATGCTCTGGTGAGTAAATGGAATTGCTTGCAGCAGCACTTCCAGCTAGTTGAGCTGAATGCTGTGTCCTTAGGAATGACGAAGCTGGAAATAACAGAATGATAAATGGTTTATCATCGCCGATGAAAAAAAAAGAATTATTGATCAATGTTCACTAATTGTTTATAAGATGGACAGAAGCTTGTCAATATTATTAAGTTACTTTCAAGAACTAAAAATGCAACATAAAAGTATAAAAAGTCGATAGTTGAGTTCTGAAACAGTTAAGCCTGTTTCATAATTCCAAAAGGAACATTAGCCCTGTAAAGTTAGGGGTTCATCATCTTGGAAAGTTAGGCTTAACTTTTTATAATTAAATGAAAAGCAGTTTAAAAATGACAAGTTAAATAAGCTAAGGGGTGTGAAGCTATGTTTTGGTGAAGACAACGAACTGAAAAATGTATCTTTCATCATACAATATGTTGTAAAATGTATCACACGAGCAAATTCATTTGAAAATGTCTAAGGTCACCAATTTCTTCTGAGGACTATATTTGTCAGTGTATAAGCTATAATTATTTTTTCTTCCAGCAAGTTAATATCATGAGACAGTGTATATAGGTTTCATGATCCACATAGGAAAATGCGGTTATAACGTGAGCTGGCTAAATAAGAAAGCTATTTGAAGGAATAATCAACATAGTCTAAATGCACAAATGAATACATTATCCAAGACGGAAGATAGGTATTGTATGAGGAATCTTGGAAATGCGGTAAAAAAGTACCTGAATTTTGCGAGGATGCAAAAGGAGAGGGCATGGCTTCCTGATTAAACGTGTCCTTCCTTTTCTTTCTTTTATGTGTATACCACACTGCCAGCACTACAAGACTTAGTGCCAAAAACCCCACAACAATGCCAATAGCTGCTACACCTCCTCCTCTAAAACCCCCTGAATTATTTGATTGTACATCTGCAGTTATATTAGGATTAGGTTGAATTGATCTTGCAGTGGGTTTCTCTGCAGGGGAGGAAGGGAATGGTGAAGATGGGGCATTTCCATCTGAAGATCCATTCCTCGTGGGAGCAGGAGGAGATATAGAAGGTGGCAAAGATGATGATGGGACAGGAGGAGGAGATGAAATGGAAGCCGGGGGAGGAGCAGTAGTTAAAGGTGGGGAACCAGCAGGAGGGGGTGACAATGCAGGAGGTGGAGGAGAACTTTCTGGTGGATTTACAACTGATGGGGGTGGTGGATTAGCTATAGGTGGTGATGCAACTCTTTCTGGTGGGGGAGGTGAGGATGGAATAGCTGGAGTAGGAGGTGGTGATGCTTTGGGAGGGGAAGCTTCTGACGGTGGGGGAGGAGAGAGTGGATTAGCAGGAGGTGGTGGTGGTGAAGCTTTGGGTGGGGAAGCTTCAGATGGTGGGGGAGGAGACAAAATTGGAGGTGGTGGCGAATTGGCTGTTGGAGGAGGGGTAGCAGAAGGAGTTGGCGGTGGTGAATTCACCGTGGGAGATGGCGGGGGCAATGGGGGTGGTGAAGTAGGCGGCGGCGGCGGTTGTAAATCTGGTGAGGGTGATTGAAGTGGGGCAGGAGGAATTGGTGGAGGAGGAGCTGAAGAATTGGAGGGGCGAGAAGGAGAATTTGGAGATGGTGATGTAGAAGCCATCTACCAAGTTCTAACAATTCCCTAATCAAGAAATTCTGTATTTCAAACTCAAATCATTCCTATAGCCAAATTTCACCCAATAAACCAATCTTTACTAATCAAACAATCAATAAACTTCATCCATTCAAAGAAATTAATAAAAAAATTCGTATCCAAAGACCAAATCTCTTTCTGAAAACCCAAATTCTGCACACATCAAGAAACAGCAAAAAGACTTAAAACTTTCAGTAAGGAAATGGAAGCCAAGTTAACAAGAACCTAACCAAATTCAAGATTTCTTATTAATAAAAGTGATGAGAAAATCCCAAATTGAGCACACTCAAAAATCGTATGTTGATTTTAGCAGAATGAAGATCCACAATTTTACTGTAAACCTCAGAAGGCCATAAACATTCAATTTTGAAGCGGCAAAGAAGAACGAAAGAAAGTTCCTACGCTGAAATATGAAGAAAGTCTCACCACACTATAACAGGCTGTAATCATGAATTCCAGAAAAAGAAAAAGAATTAAGCGTGCTGTACTTTCTTCGTGTACAATAAGTAAGTTTGACGAGGTATCAAAATGTGAGACACTGGTTATTTTAAAGTATTGAGACAATCATTATACATGTACGATGGAGGGATAACAAACAGTGTCTTCACGTGCAAAATTGAAAGAAGTCCCCAAAGAAAAATTCTTCTCCATTGATACAATGGCCCAAGCAACGTGGCTGCAACTTAAAAATAATCTTAAATAATTGGTAAATTGCATTGGAAGTCACCGAACTCTCACCATACTGCTGTTTAGGTTATTGAGCTTCAATTTGGTGCAATCAAATCACCGTACTTTAATTTACAAGCAATTAGATCACACCGTTTTGGGTTCCGTCAATAAGCATGCTTACATGTCCCTCAAAACTAATGACGTGTCAACGTGTCTGTCCATTTTCGACCTCAGCTTATCCAAGAGTGCATTGGATGGCTTGAACTTTCACTATACTTGCATCTAGGTCAATTAATTTCAATACGGTGAAATCAATCAAGTCACTTATATTTGAATTTCGTCAATGTGTCTAGTTAGTTTAGTTAAGAATGGTTGATTTAGCGATCAAATTGATTTAGTTAAAAAAAGGGCATAAAGGAATACCATAAATACATATGATTGCATCTTTTTCGATGATCATTTTCAATCTTTAATGAATAATGTTATCTAACACCAATGGTGCTAAGATACAATTTTATGTGACAATATGTGATATGTTCAATTAAAAGTGAAATTATAAAATTTATTTAACAGAATCTGTAATTTAATGTCATTAGTGTTGCCACCTAAATCGGTGTTAAACATCAGTAATGTTAAATAACATTATTCTTTATTAATTTTGTTTGAAGGTAACAACTTTCAACAATAAATCTCACATTACAATGTAATTTAGAAGAGAGCCAAAAAATACAAAAAGATACATGAATAGGAACGTCAAATACCTCGAATTTCTTGCATCAATAAATAGGTGGCCTGGATTTTACCGTTTGTTTTTTATGTCCTAAGGATCAATCTTTCTCATTGTCATTATGATTGATCGAACTTTCACCCCAACTACAATTATAGATGTGAAAAAAACCCTTACCACCAAACAGATTGATGTGATTACTCGTAAAAAGTACATTGTCGTGATTGCACAAAATTGAAGTTCAACACCTAGTTGCAAGTATTATAAAATTTCAGTGACATAGTTGTGAATATATCGAAAGATTAAGTGACCTCTAGTGCAATTTAAGGTGAGCTGCGTGGCAAATCTGCTGACATATTGACACTTCTTTGATTTTGACAGACGTGAAAACATCCTTGTAAACGAGTGACCTGATTGCTTGTAAATTAAAGTATAATGGCGCGATAGTGATCTACTCACCACTATGAATCTTTATTTGATTATTTCAAGTTATTTGATAATCATATTCAAATTTTTTTTTTTTCAAACAAGCACGCGATCTCATGTTGTCACATTCTTGATTTGGTAATCAAACGGCGCGTGAGATATATGATCTCCTCATTATATGACTCAAAACTACTCGTCGTCACAATCTGTCGTCCATGTTCCTCGATAATTCCCATGTCGCCATGAGGTCCAAACATGTTACCTATGTAGTTTTATAATCCTCTTGCTGCCATCATAAGCTGAAGTAACTGTCCCAAGTGTCTCTGTAGTGGAATGGCTAATTGAGGAACGGGGATGGAGATCGAGCAACTTATACGTAGTTCATGAATTGAGGTTATCAGATTTCCAGATTGTGGCGTAGCAATAAGAAATTGATGTTTTCGTCAATAATAAGAAATAAAGAATAAAGAGATTAGGTGAAGGTGGTTGGAACATGGATGTGACACTGACATAATTATTTAATTTTGATACTTCATAACTTACTAATTATTATTCACGAAATAAACGTTAGGCAGAAGCAAAGTCAAACCAAACAAACACGAGCCCACGTTCAAGTTCAAGGATGGGGGTTGTGATCTCTGCTCACATTTGTAGTTGAAACTTTCTTAAAAATAATTCTTAAAATATTTAAATTTATTTTCATTTTAATTGACAATTTTTTTTTAAAAAAAAAGTCCGTTTGGTTAACAATCTCGTATTAAAATAAGAAGAATGGAAGATAAATACGAAACTATGATCCACTAGCAAAGATCTTATTATAAAGAAGTTTTTATTACTCGGAAAGTAACATATCATTGGTAGTGACATAATTATTTACCTACTTTTTTTTTTTCCCGAAATAGTAAAAAGTTCAATAATTTATGTTAATACTACCTCACGATTCACGAATGGGCCGGGCGAAGGTGGTGATGAACAGTGGTTTTTTCTTAGTTATTTTAAATATTTTTCTAAATTTTGGACTCATTTGCATTTTTAAAAAGATAAGGAGTTAGATTGCAATTTATTTTTTATTTTTATTTTATTTTCTGTTTTGTTTTATTTATATATGAGGGTATAATGNTAATACTACCTCACGATTCACGAATTGAGATGAGTCAGAGCGTGTTTGTCTAAGCTCACAAAATCAAAGAACAATAAAGAAGCTTTAATATAAAGGAGAATAATACTTGCAAACTATTTTGATCTATCTACGTGACATACACAAATCGATTTCAATTAATTTCTTTTCTATCTAAAAATCTGTAAAGATATAAAATAAAGTTTTGCATTGATTAAAGATGTAAACAATTCATAATATATAAAAAAAAATTGTGCTGTTGTTCTTCTTCTTAATAAGATTGATATAGAGTGTGTTTGGTAGG